CAAAAAGAATTTTTAATAGTTTTCTGACCAAATCGTATACGTTCTTTCAGAATCTGTGATCAAAAACGAATTTTGAAATTGAGGAGGTGGGGGGTATCTTTGGTATGTTCATGGATTCTCTCTTAACTGCTCTGTTTTTCTAAAATAATTTCATCGTCAATTTTCCCGCTAGAAATGACATCTAGAAAAAAACTTGCAATGGCAAAGTTATAGAGCGTATGCCAAAGTATATGATATGCTATTAAAATCTCGAAAAATCCCACTTTCGCTTTTTCACCTAAATATGATGTGATTGCCTATTGTAAGATCCATATGACCATGATAACACTTCTTTATCAGATTCTTTACCACAAAGACTTATTAGCTTTGAATGAAATTTCATCTGAGTTTTTAATTCAATGTTACTCTCTTCATCTAGTTCTATATTTTGCGAAGTAGCTGTATATGAACAAGAATGAAGGCATGAAAGAACAGGAAGAGAAAGACGTTTATTATTAAGCAAAACCGAGTTATTGAGAAGGTATCTGATGACAAAAATTCTTTATAACTACCCCTGATTACTATATTTTGTGTTTCACTTTATGTGATAAATCAAATTCGTTGTTTTTTTAATTTAACTTCAAAATATTAGTTGAATGTGATATTTGATCAATATTAATTTTTTCAAACATTCATATAAGACAATTCCATTTGTACAAAAAATGTTTAATGTCATTTATATTTTACTAAAAACAATATTTAAGGTTCTGAAGGAGAATTTCTGTCTATACGTCATAATTCACCCACTAGTTCTAACAAATTTTATATCGAATAGCTTCTTCTTTTTTTCAAGATTGAAAAAAGTAGAGTATTGTGATCCTTTCAAAGCTATTTGTAAATTTTAGATTATTTTTACATAAATGAAAGTTTTAATCCGATCTCTACTTTTCTGTTTCTATTCTATCTAAAAGATATTGCCGTATATTCGCTTATTGATCTAAGCTTTATTCTTCCAGAATATTATAAATCTCATTATTGGTATTCTAAAACATAAACTATCGAAAAACTTATTTCTTATGCTAACGTTTACAAAAGCCGAAAGCATGTTCTTGAATATGTACAAGCAAAGAGTTTGTGTCTTGCATTCCAAATGTCTGACAAAAGAAAACGATAAAAACATAAAATATGTACATGGACTACTTATCATCCGACACATATTTTGCAAATAGAAACAAACAACAACAACAACAAGAACAGGAACATGAAAGTGCAACAAACTTGTCTATGTAATAAAAAGAACAACGGGAAAATACGCCTAGAAATGTCAGCACTTTAATTTTCATATAATAAGTCATAATGCCCCGGTCTATAGAGAAATGTAATCATTGGTTGAAATGCTTGTTCATTGTCATTGTGAGAAAAATCATGTGTAGTCAATTGTGATGTTTCACTACGATCCATATAAATCACACGTAATGATACTTGAGCAGCTTTTGTTAAAGCAATTATATGAATATTATCTGATTCACGTGCCATTGGTTCAACGTCCTGTTTGAAATAGAAAAACAAACAAAATTAAAAAGTATCTAATTTGTTATATATTGTCACTCTCAGATTCTCATTATAATGACTAATCAAACATATCGAAGGGAAGACGATTAATGTGGCTTACATTTTACTAGAACAATATTCCAGGACCCCACTAGGTATGCATCAGTTATAACCGACTGAAACTGTGCGCTTTTTTTGCAAAAAAATTTTTTCAGCGAAAGTTGATTCTCTAACGTTTTTTCTAACAACCGGGTTTAGTAGAGCAAACATTTTCCTACAAGACGAGTTATACGAGTGTTCTTCGTCTTGATCCAGTACTCATAAAAAAAAATTTAAAAGTTTCATAATCGGTTATAATCGATTTAGGGATCTTCGTCGAAAAGCGACTGCGATAGAAAGAGACAACATGAAAGCTTTCGCCATAGCTCATCTTGTAGAAAAATGTTTCCTCTACAAAATCCAGTTATTAAAAAGATTTAAAATGCACGCTTTTCGTGCATGGTCAAATTTCTTACCGTACAACAAAACTCTTTTACGGTCTTGGATGGTCCTTCCAAAAAGTTTTGAAAAAAATCTGCATTCATCTGCAAATAAGCTGATGTAAACAAACTAAACATAAGAAAAAGACTGTTTTGGTAGAGTAAAAGAGGTTTCATTACTATTCAGTACCGTAAGTATGCCACAAAATAATCGGAATGTTGTTGGCTACAAAATATTTTCATCAGACTTGCTTCATCACCTCCCTGACAAACGCCATCGATGGTGTCAATAACCTTCCATGTAAAGAAAAATATGTCTATTGAGAAATACAGCCAAATCAATTGTTGAAACTTACAACATCACGAACGTCTTCGACTGTAAACTCTTGATAACCCAGTTGAACTAATTTATCTTTTAAATCAGCAACTAATCTACGAAACCTAAAAAAAAAAGAGAAAAAAGTTAGAATCAAAAGTAGTCAACTCAGCTATGATTGGTACCGGTCTAATTCTAGTTCATTTTTTAAATTTTGCTCAAGATAACCGAAGCCGAATGCCCTATAGAAACAATTACCATCACCACGTGTTTTACGTATATATTTGTATTTTTTCGTTAATTCCTAACAAACAAAACGTATAAGAAAAATGACTGACGAGAACAAGCATTCATTTACTCGTATTTTTGATTGATAAACTGAATCTTCAACATCATATTCATTTCGAAGTTTGTCAGTACTCAGTTTTTCACTAACCAACGGTTGGTTATCTATAATCTGCAAGTTATAAAAGTGTAAAATAAAAAAATAGATTGGGAAAGATATATCAAACTCGTTTACCTCTCGCTCAATACGCTCTTGCTGAACTTGTGTTTGACCATCAAGATCAACATCTGAAACAGGCACAGCATCATAAGAACATTAATACTAAATCTCTTCGATTTAGGAACGAAAAAAAGAATGTGACGTGAAACCCTAACCTCCTTCATTATAATTAAAACTGCTTGTATCATTAGGATGACAGTTAGTCGTACTTGGTCCAGTCTTGTCAATACTCATCTTCTTCAAACAAATCTAAAAATGAAGATGTTTTCGATGAAATTAAAATAAACAATCTTGCCAAATGGTTCTATACTGATGAAGAAGCAATTCTCTACAAAAATACAAAGGTCACTACCTATAGAAGTAAGAACCTGAGTTTTTGGGTTCTTCTACAGATCGATGACACCCCCTACTGTGGTGTGTGTGGAGTGTGAGTGTGTGATCGATCTGTAGAAGTACCAGTTTTTGTGTTAGAATATATCACGAGTATATTCCATCAACAAATACTTATATTACACGCAACGAAAAAAACTGCGTTGATTGAAGAGTCTCACCTCTAACTTTTATACCTGGCGTATACGTATCCTTGACCAGCCGAGTGTTTATTTCTATTCCCTTGACTAGAGTCTAGGGTGTTACAAAATTACAAAATGCTTGTCGGTGTGTCTGTGTGCGCAAAATACGGAAAAATGGCTTACGATATTCTATGGATAAGCCAATCACAAGACACAAAAATAAACACAGAACATTATTTTTTACACAAGAGTGAAAATATTCAACTACATGACTGAAAAAATAATTACTAATGCAGAGACAAAAAGATAAGCAAAGGTTTCTGTAGTCCGTAGATAGATGCCGCCTGAAATCAGTCAGTTTTGATATCACAAAAAAAGTCATAATACGGATAATAAACTCACAAAATATAGATCGTCTATCATGCCAAATCCATCAGGAATGTTTTCGGCCTGCTTCAGATCATCAGAGGGTGTTCAGAAAACTTTTTAGCTTTATATTACAATATACGCTTTTTCTGTTTTCAAATAAATTGCATTTATTTGCAACGACTACGTTCGTGCGGATAGGGCGCAGGGTAGGCAGAGGCTTACAGTAGTGTTTAGGAGTGCCGTTTCCGATACTATGTTGTATAGATCAT